GAGCGGGGGGGTGGGGGGGTTTGGACTTGATGCCCTTAGAGGCCCCCTTCCAACTTCATGATTCGATGATTCGGACTAAAAACCGATCTGTTGCCCCTGTGAAGTCTGATTTACCTGCCTTGCACTGCCGCTCCTGTTCATCTTGGTGAAAGATGATTCGGACTAAAAACCGATCTGTTGCCCCTGTGAAGTCTGATTTACCTGCCTTGCACTGCCGCTCCTGTTCATCTTGGTGAAATACAGTTCTTCTGTTGTCCCTGTGAAGTCTGATTTACCTGCCTTACACTGCCGCTCCTGTTCATCTTGGTGAAATACAGTTCTTTGTCATGTACAGGAGTAAGGATTGTTGGCTCTTGGTGATGTCTGGCTATTTATTTATTTATTTATTTATACCCTGCCCATCTAGACACAAGTCTACTCTGGGTGGCTAACAGTAAAAAAGGTAAAGGTAAATGTTCCCCCTTGACATTTAGTCCTGTCATGTCCAACTCTAGGGCGTGGTGCTCATCCCCGTCTCCAAGCTGTAGAGCCGGTGTTTGTCCGTAGACAATCCTCCGTGGTCACGTGGCCAGCGCGACTAGACACGGAACGCCGTGACCTTCCCACCGAGGTGGTACCTATTTATCTACTCACATTTTTACATGATTTCGAACTGCTAGGTTGGCAGGAGCTGGGACAAGTAAGGGGAGCTCACTCCGTCACGTGGATTCTATCTTATGATGGCTGGTCTTCCGACCTTGCAGCACAGAGGTTTCTGCGGTTTAACCCGCAGCGCCACCACATCCCTTTTATCATGTACTTCTCCACAACTGGATGAGCTGCCTCTGTTTAAAACCATTGCCTTTGAGGTGATAGGCGAATGATGGGCGAAGTATTTTGAACAATAATGGCCTATGTGGTGTCATTGGATCCCGTTTCCTCTGTTATTCTTCTTCCGATGTGTTTTATGTCAGGGTGTTCCCTGTCTAGCCTCAGTGACCAGAGATAAGACCAAAGGCTGGATGATGATGGTGATCGTGCTGTTCAAAGCTTGGAAAGAAGTTACATGTAATTCCACTTCGGTTTGCAGCTTGTTTCATCAGCCCTGCAAAACGTTGGTGGTTCAGAACCTAGAGAGGAGCAAGAACTGGTTTGCCCCTGCTCGCCCCAGTTCATAAAAGCAGTGAACCCCACCTACCCACCCCACTTTCTTTGGCTCAACCCGTCCCTCGCCAGGCCCAGCCTGCTCGCTTCCTATCCCTCCTCAACGGCTCTCCCAGTTCCCACAACGGCTCAAGCTTCTCTGCCATTCCCTCTTGGTTGGGCAGAAAAGTCTGTGCTCCTGCCTGCGACTGGGAGATTAGCCTAGGGGGTGGGGGGGGGAAAGCCAGCTGGTCCTAGTGAGGGACTGTTTGAGCCAGAGGAGGCAGGGGAGAGGAGGAGGAGCCTCTGTGTTGCCACCTTGACGAACTGGGACGAACCAGGACGAACCAGTTCGTGCCCGTCTCTATTTGAGGGAGGGAAGAAGGACACGGGCAGTGGTGGCTATCGCTTGGAACTGGGTTTCCTTTTGGGAGTGGACGAAGGTCAACGTGGGGCTCTTTGCACAAAATGTGGAGCTAATGCCGTAAGCAGAAGCAGAAAAAAAAAAGAAAAAACAGACTTTGCAGAGAGCAAGAGAGGGTCATCAAAAATATAAACCCGTACTAACGGCATGTTGTATTTGAAGAGTAGCCATTCTTAGCTGTTCCACTGAACCAAAAAGGGAGCCGGGTGGTCCTTACAAAATACAAATGCAAGAGTAGGCAATACCTTTGAAGATCTTTAAATATATTTTTTAATTGTCATACAGTCTGTGAGCTTTCATGGATCAGAGTCGTCCTCCCCTTCATCAGGCATGAAGCATTAAAAGTCCAAAAGTTCCTGGCAAGACAAATCTCCCCAGGCATGTTTTTTTGTGAGATGTAAGTTAGGAAAAAGATTCAGGCTGTTTTAAAGTGGCACTATTCTGTCCACTCCACAGCGCCTTCAGCTGTAACTTTAAAACTCCGGCTCTAATTGCAGCCTGCCTCTTTCCTGACTTTTCTCCAAGAGTAACTTTCCTAACAAAAATCCATCTCGCCACGAACCTTTGGACATTAAAGTCTTCACACTGGCACACGTGGGCTGACGGAGAGGATCCCTGATCTACGAAAACGTGCCAATGGGATGATGATCTCTTTTCTTTAAGTGGTCTGTAAATGTATTTATTATTTCTTTATTCGATTGGTATACCTCCCATCTGACTCCCAAGGCCACTCCGGGCAGTTCGCAACACGATGGGCAACGATAACACCTTAAAAGAATAACCACAAAGGGAGAACAACGATGCAGAAATTCGAATCAACGTGTCCATCAAATTAAACTAAAAAGAAAGGCAGCATAAAAACAATGAATAGGAGGGCAGAAAGGATGACTTCAGAGTCGAAGGAACTTCTGTGCTTTTTTAATGTCATGTCTTGGAGTCCCTTTCTAAACAGCCATGGTTTCAGACATCCCTTAAAGACCTCTTAAAAGATCCATCACACACTCTTCAACTTCCATTCTTAATGGTTATGCTTTTCCAGTTGCCTCCTTTCTCAGTATCTGCGGCGTTCTGTTTGATACCGTTTCATTAACCGACGGCCATTTGTTCTTTCTTTGTAGGGGAAGAAGGCACGCAAGCCGAAAGCGGCAGCCAGGAGAGTCATGCGCAGACCCGCTGCGAATCTTGTACGTCCACCTTTCTGAAGGTCGTCTGGGGATTTCTGATCATCTTGTCCGTCTCGTCCTCGTGGGTTGGAACGACGCAGATTGTCAAGATCACATACAAGAACTTTGACTATCCGTTTTTCATGACTTGGTTTTCCACAAACTGGAACATTATGTTCTTCCCCGTTTATTATTCTGGACATCTGGCAACCGCCCAGGAAAAGCAATCGCCAATAAAAAAAATCAGGTAAGGACTTAACTTGTGACGGCAACGCCTGGCGAACGTATGAACTTAATAACCGTCCTTCTCCCATAGGAACCAGCCTGATCCTGATCCTCAACATCAGGTGAAGGGATTTGATCATGCCCTATGGCGGAGAGAGATACCCTGAAGGATGCAGGAATAGCATTGGCAAGGGGTGTGGCCAAAGAGGGGGAAAATCAGGAGAAGACTACCCTGAAGGATGCAGGGATAGCATTGGCAAGGGGTGTAGCCAAAGAGGGGGAAAATCAGGAGAAGACTAAATAGTAATTTTGTTCTTTGGGTGTTTAAGCATTTAGTCCAGTAGAATCCTCATATCTGCATGGGGTAGTGGTCCCAGGTTTTCCTGCAGATACTTTAAAATGCAGATTATTACAAACAAAGCTGAAAGGATGCTCAGCTGCGGACGTGCCTGGAAGTGAAAGGAAAGTCCGATGCTGCAAAGAAAAATACTGCATAGGAACCACGAATGTACGATCTATGAACCTTGGTAAGCTGGATGTGGTCAAACAGGAGATGGCAAGAATAAACATTGAGATCCTGGGCATCAGTGAACTAAAATGGACGGGAAGGGGCGAATTCAATTCAGACGATTATCATATCTACTACTGTGAGCAAGAATCTCATAGAAGAAATGGCGTAGCCCTCATAGTCAACAAAGGAGTGGGAAAAGCTGTA